AATCTTCGCGAATCAATACAATGATTGAAAAGTCCTTGCAAATTAATTATTTAATATTTAAAATTGATAAGTAATGAAATCAATTTTTTGACAAATTTTTAAATCTTTTTTGCATAATTAAGTTTTGTTTTTATCACATATACTGTAACTTTAATTTTTGCGAAATTTATCTTTTTATAATATATATCTTAGGTTTAATTTATGGGCACAAGTAAATTTAATTTTAACAAGTAATTAAATTTTATTTATATAGTTTTATATATTAATATTAAATAATTGAATTATTTAATTTTTTTAAGTGACTTTTGCTAATAATGCATTTTCAATTAAAAAATTTTTTATTCTATGATAATAAATTAATATGGATCTATAATAATATTTTTAAATTTATATAAGAGCTAATATTTTTAATTGTATCTTTTTTTTAATATAGTAATAAATTTAATTGTACGATTCACATATACGATATGTGTTTATATTTTTTATATTTTGTAAAATTCAAAAAGTTCTTAAAAATTAAAACATTTTCGAGAGACAAATTCAAGAAGTATAATTGCTTAGCATATAGTGAACTTGTAAAAAGTAATTGTAATGAAAATTTTTTTGTCCCATACTGAACGTGTATGTGATAGGAAATTTCATTGCATAATATATAAATTGTACAAGAAAAAAAATTATTATTTTGTTTTATCAATTGATTTGTTAATGTTACCTGCCATCTTCGAGATGTCCTCTAAAATTTGATTACTCGCCCTTTTTCCTATAATGCTCAATAATCTCGGAAGCTGAGAAAGATGTAGGCCGTCGTCAATAAAGTTCCGAGATTCTCGCCTCGGTACCGAAGTACAGCGCGTTAGGAATTGTTTAGATATTGTCGAGTCACAAAGCGTCACAAAGCTCGTCATAGCTTTTGCCCGTCAGGGCTACACAACCGCTGATATCAAAGACGTCTGAGATGTAAATTAGCGACGTGATCGAATCCCCAAGGCCGAAACGTCAACAAATTGCGGGCCATTTTTAGGAGAAATGTCCTCGACACGGATGAACAGTTCATGACCTTTATTATATCTTTTGGCCATGAAATTTTCAAGAATATGCCTCGATAAATCGTCGCGGGATTCTCCTAGATATATAGGAGATATTCCGAGAGATTAATCGAATCAATATATTAAGTAAATACTTATTTCAAATTTAGGTGAATCTTCGATCATCCAGATTCTAAATTCATCCTGACTCTGTAGAAAATTTTATTCGCGATGGCGCGAAAGTCAATTGCAAGAGCGCAACTGATGAACGAATTCAAATAGAATTCTGTGAGTTTACTTTTACCGGCATAATTTGCGCCAAATGAGAACAAGGCTCGTGGAACTTTTTAATGATGAATGTAGCTTCCAAGGACACAATGTTGCTTTCCAATCGAAGTTATATCGAAACACAATAAATGAATGTTGCTATTCTTTGAAATTCGAATTGTTTCTAATTTCAAATGAATTTCCTTTCCAATCGATAACATTGAGTCATTTATCTTCTCTAAAAAATCATCTTAAAAATGTTTTTGTAATATAACGATTCGTATTTGTAAATCATTTAAGAACAACAAAAACAGGCCAATAAAACAACAAATGGGATAACAATGTATTAAAATTAAATTTAATCGTACAATTAAAATTACAGTTATTTTTTTAATTACTTTTTAAATACCTTTTGAGCTAAATAACATATTTAACTGTCTAAATTATATTTATGACAATAATATTTATTGCATAATTTAATTTATTTTGTAATCCGACGAAATTAATTCGACTTAATGGATGGATTTAATTGTCAAATGAACCGATGAGACATGTAACGAGGGAGGAGGGAGAGATTTCACTTATTCCGCGATGTAGCTCTCGATCTTAACCGGACCTCCGTTACGGTATGTTTGCGTCGCAGCTAACAGTGTAAACGTTTGCGAATCAATCGCATGAAGGGGTCATTCGACGCCTCCTCCATGCCATCAAATTCGATGATCGGTACACCGGCGGAATTTGCATATTCGTCGTCGTTAGAATCCGGGTCTGCGCATGCATTTAGCAAATCGGTTTACGTATCGAGGTTTTAACAATCCCGGCCGTTACAAGCGATTATTTCTTCGTCTTTTACAAATTTAGTCCGATTATTCACCGTTGATACGCGGCTGACCGGTGTGTGCGATGTTTTTATAAGATACAATAAAAAGGTCAAATCAAACGAGAGAAAGAAATGAAATGTGTATTATTGAAATAGTGATGTTTTACAACGTATCTTACTATTAAATTAACACTGATTATTTTTATTTAATTATTTAATTTATACACATCTGGTATTGAAGCAAATTTAACCAAGTATCAATAAATAATGTGAAATTAAGATTAAAATAAATATAAAATTAATCTAGTTACGATCTTAAATTAGAAAAATTAATTTTTTTTGATAGATTTGTTTATTTATATATTTGTTTAAACATATTTCGTCTCGCCGATTATTTGCGAATATCATTGAAATTTTACTCTTGCTCCAAGTGTTCGGTATAATCGAATATCTTCATATCCTGGGGAGTAATCTCCAGATGGAGACGGATGTCTTCGTGCGGTGAACTGTTCCGTCCGAAGAAATTCGACGTCAGTCGATGAGGATCCCGCGAGATATTCCGCAGTTCTCACAGTATCGACATCTGACATACGATCTCATTACAAATCCGCGAGATCTTTCGATTTACGTCCTAGCAACGGTGACAGACCGATATTTCTCGATCTGTGAAAATCTTTTGAGATCATTTCTCCATTCGAGAATGAAAGATTCGAATTACGTGAGAATCAAATGTCACGATATGTATATATCAAAATGATTTTTTCATTACTCTTAATAATAATCAAAGAGATAAAGACAACATGAAAATTTAATCGTATTGCATTTATCATTTCTACGTTCGTTAAAAAACATATTATTAAATTTTGTTTCTTAAATTTGCCCTCCATTTTGAAAAGAAACAACACGAGATATTATAAAAAAAATTTATTATAAAATTTATTTTAGAAGAAATAAAAACTCTATTAGTAAACTTTACTATTAGTATAATTTTGTGTACAATTCTCTGTTTTAATACTTTTGTATACAAGAAATTTTATAATTTTATCATATATAATATAATATATAATAAGAAATAATATAATGTAATTTTATAATGAAGATGCTAAAAAAGATATTTCTTCAAAATACAGTTAAAATAACTGTAATATAGTTGCAGTTAAAAATAATTTTGTAATCGCTCGATTGAAATATCTTATCGATCTCTTTTAGTATCACCAGTAAGTATCATAAATAATATTATTTGTAATGATATTTCTTTTTCATAAAATGTTTAAGCTATCATAAATCAAAATAATTTGCAAAGTATAAATTCAAATATCATTGCAAATAATATTAATGATACGATATTCAAAAAGCTAAATAATATTAATGATACGATATTCAAAAAGCTATTTTCCCTGAAAGAAATCAATAGGATATTTCAATCAAGCGGTTAAAAGAAATTATTTTTAACCAGGCAAAACTGTATTACTTATTTCAACTGTATTTTTTAAAGAACTTATTTAAATAAAAAAAAATTGTCTCTACGTATTGATAGAAAGATTTATTTTCGAGAAATAATGCTATGAAAAATCTCGTGTATCAGTAAAATTACTGATAATTTCACTTTAGCGTCGTTCACTTTGAAGATGACACTCGCCGCCGTTTGAAGATACAGCTTTACAGTTCGATAAGACCGTAAGGACTCAATCTCCTAATTACGAGCGGTATTCTCGCGACGAGTATCACTTATCTTTTTTCGTAATAAACGACCTTCCTTACTTCGAGCTGAGATTAGCTCGGTCCTCTGACAGGTTTCACCACCGCTTCGCGGCACAATGGTCGCTTCAATGGGGGGAGGTGGACTGACGTTACTGATCATGTAGCTCCGATCGCTATAATGGACGAACATCCACGTAACGAAACGGATCAGAGCCATGATCAGAGAGAAGGGCCCGGCGAAAGGAATCTCTTAAGTCGTTTTTGCGGAGCCGCTTCCTTCCCAGGACCTTGCGCCGCTTCTCGCGTTCGGCCTTGCGCCATCATCTACTCTGAGCGATTCCCATCGCGTCTTACTCCTTTATGGATATGAACTTATCACTTGCTGATTAGACGGTGATTTTATTCTTTACGCTTTATTCTTTTCATGTGGTATCAAATTGAGAAAAGGAGGCGCAATATGAAATAAATTATTAATATAACTGCATTAACATACGAAATTATGAATTCATATCTCATTGTAATTATAAGACGTAAAAATTCAATTGAGTATATATTTAAGTATATATATATTTAAAAAATTTTTAATTTAAATAACAATTTAAGAAATTTGTTCACATTTTTGTTTTTCAGGTGTTTGCGACGAGCACGAATATAGGCTGACAAAACATCTACTGGACGGATATGACGCCGGCGTGAGGCCAGCTAAAAATTCATCTCAGCCTCTGGTCGTGGTTTTTGGACTATCTCTTCATCACATTATTGACGTCGTGAGTATTCGAGCGTGAATAATTTTAAAAATGAATATATGGTAATATAAGGAAACTTTACCGCCGTTTTTTACATTTTCTTACAGCACTCTTACTGATTTAAAAAAGTATTACACATCTCATATTCTCTAATTTTATTTTTGAAAGAATTTTTACTTTGAAAAAAAATTTATTTTTCCTTTAAATTTTTTATAGAATTTAGGTTATAAAAATTAATAATTTGTCATTTTGTATTTCTACTATATAAACAATAATCTCTACTATATAAATCTCTAAATAATAAATTTTATTAAAGAAATTATACAGAAGTTATACATAATTTTAATGTGGCAAGAATAATAAATATAATTATATATAATCACCAAGTGTTTAATAAATTTTAAATAAATATATTTTATATATTTTTTGGACACATTTGATTCCAATTTTTTGTATAATGTTAAATTTCTATTAAATTATATATAGCTACATAAAATCATCGCAATATCACTTTATTGTGTACATATTCTTTGTAAAAAAATATTATTGATGGTTGTAAAATAGAAATATCAGAAATTTCGACATATTTTTTGAAATCTTTAAAGTTTTTACAGCAATTGAAATGTATTAAAGAAGCAAATTGTTAGCTGAACAAAATTCCTCCGTTAAAAACGAATCCAAGGGAAATCCGCATGGAATTTCCTTAAAAATGTTTTCATATTCTTTCGTTTTCACTGTTGAGATTGAACATACATTCGGGGAATTCCACGGAGACATTATTTTTTATTAGCACATAAAAATAAGCATACGAAAAAATATCTCCTTGTCTAAATAAAATAACGGTGACGTAATCTCTCAATCGGAAAAAGGCGTTTTATCTCGATAGAGAGTTCGCGGAATAAAAAATTAAATACGAGAGGAAGAAAATATGAAAACCGGTGGTTGCTCTTTTAACGATACGTGCATTTATATCTATAGATTTTTTATTATCGACTTTTACCAGTGCTTTGGCATTCAAAGAGAATCCTTAGTAAACGGATTTGATCTTTAATAAAATAAATTTCTGTTTGCGCGGCTAAAAAAAAATCCATCGAAACAGACAGGTAAAAATAATATTTGAATTTACCGTCGATGTTTGCGAGAATAAAAAAATTTCGATTAAATTTTTATTGGAATACCCACAAAATTGATATAATAACTTTATCCATCGCTCTTTCATGACAATATGCAGCATACAAATAAAACTTTATTTAATTCATATAAATTGTTAAATTAATAATTAGTTATTACTCAATTTCGTCAAATTTAAATAAATTCCCTTGTATCTGATTTATCTCCGTACTTTCTCTTTCGCAAGCTTTTTAAGTCTCCTCCAAAAATTTGTCTCGGAAGAATAAGGCAAAATTGAGAAAAATACGTACCGTAACGAAAATGGAAACGCCGCGACCGTGACGGGATCCTAAGTGGTAATCGGAGATACGCGAGATAAATTGGCGTGAGAATAACTAAGGCGGTGGGAAAGTTTCAGACATTTGTTTCGCGTATAACGACGGTAACGAGAGCAACCTTTAGCGCAACACAACCGATCGCGGTCACTCCAGGGAGGCCTGAGATCGTCTAACGAGAACTCGTTACATCTATCGTGCAATACGGTCGATCATCCGACTCGTCTCTTCTTCCCTCGTTTCTTTTCCGTCTGATATAATATTGATGATATGACATAATATTGCGCGGTCTTCCGATCGAGTTTTGTTGTAAAATTGCTGAATCTATCAAAAAAACCTTTGGAAATACTCTTCAAGAAGTAGAGAATGAGATACTTGAATAATGATCAAATGAATCATTATGCAAAGCCAATTTTTTTCAATCTAAAATGTTTGTTATGTTAAATATAGGCTTTTTATTATAATTTGTATTTGTATAATTGCAAAACAAAAAGAGGCAAACAAAAAGCGACTTCACGTTGTAACATTATAAATTGTTCAAATTCAAATAAATATAATTATTTATGAAGCTGCAGTCAATGAGTTTATTTTACAATATCCGAGTGTTATATTTAAATTGATAAATGCAATTTTTGATAAATGCAAGATTTGTGATTATATCAGATGATAATCGATTACAAATACCGCTTAAATTCTCAACATACCTAGATCTTACACAATTGAAATATTGTACATAGTTTGATGATAATATCTTGCTTCTGAATCAACATTCCGTTGATTTTCTATAGTATCCGTTGCTGGTCTGGAGATGATACACAAAGATGGATGTCAAGCATTAGTAAGAGCAATATAACTCTCTCCACGTAGACTATATTAGTTTACATATCTATCTTCTTTTATCACCATGGAAATAGCAATTTTAAATTGCTCATCGAGAAATTACTAACCCTTGTTTTATTACGAATAAATAGAAAAATGTTAAAAGTTTGATAAAATTATCAGCAGACTGTTTATTTTATCAGTAAATTTATAAAAATTAAAAATATCATTTTTTTTTCTTATATATATTTTTATATTTTTATATATATATATATATATATATATATTGTACAGATTTTTGAAAAATAAACAAATATAATTATTATAATTAAAAGTTCTATAACAATAAATATAGTTTTAAGGTTATTTATCGAAACTGTTATTTTAACGAGCAATTTAAAAATACAATAAATACCTTAATTATTATGAGCATTATTCTAATTATCGAATTAAAAGAATTCAATTTTCAGATCAAGCGTAGGTGACTTTGCAAAGTAATTAGAATAAGTCAGATAACGGACTGAAAAAAAATAACGCGAGTAATAACAAACGCGAAAGTGTTGAATATTTATGTCTTGCGCGGATCTAATTATACAAAATAATTAGATCCAATTATAAAGAATTCTTGCATTGATCGGACGCAGCGTCATAATACATCAATCTTTGTCGAGATGACATTTATTATAGAATTTGTCAGGTTCCGCATAATTATAGGTGGCCAATTAAATGCCGCGAAATTGCTCATTATATACTTTGCAATTGGTATTAATTAAGTGCCGTACGCTGTCGGCAAAAATAAGTAAAAGTCTGTACACAAAAATAATGTTCGACGTCTCATTTTTCTCGCGGGAAGATACATTGGATTAATGTACCTGTCGAACAAATTGTGATATATATTTTCTTGAAATTTCAAGTCAGTTAATACAAGACAATTTATTTATAAAAGAAATTTACGTTAATATAATAATATAAATTAGATAATTTTAGTTTACATCAAGTCTGTTTGCAACTTTTTCAATTTTTATTTATTATTAGCATATATAATAAAATATTGTTAATAAAAAGTAATTAATTTTCTATACCTGTACCTAGCTTGTCGTGAAACATTATATTCAAGATTTTTAAAATAATGTTTTATTATTTTATACACACACACACACACACACACACACA